ATGCCCTGGGGTCTGGGGTTGCTCTGGGGGGCAAAGGGGGAGCCGGGGGGGGGGGGGGTGCGTGCCCTCCCCAGGGATCTCACACTGGATTTGTCCATGTGCCATCTTCCAGGTGAACCAGGCAGGTAGTTTTCCACCTCTGCTTCATTAGAGCACTGCGAAGGCTCTGTGGGCACCTGCCTTGTACTTAGGACAGATGTATTTTAGGTAAAGGGGAAAGTCTTCAGTGGCGACAAAGATTTAGGAATGAAAACCCCTCCTGCCTTTGCCCCGTGATGTGAACACTTCAAGCCCCAAACCTCTTGAGAAGGCACCACATGAGACCTCGGCTCCTTGTCCAGACCCCGGTTCATTAGATCTAAGGAGATGATTCCTCCGTCAGAGTCATTTTTGCAGCTGGTTTAAGCTCCAGCTCCTGCAGGCTCTCCGTGCCAGGGTCACCCGCAGCAGCGCGCCCAAGCACAGGGCTCCGATCCTTGATGCCACAGTCATCTCCCTGCTTGGCCTCAGTTCTCCGGGCTGGCCATGTCATGCCGTGTCCTCTCCGATGGACTCTCCCCTCTCCAGGTGCCCTGGCAGCCAGCTTGGCTTCCTCCTCCTCGGGTGGGCTCCGCACACCCTGCGTGCCACCCAGCAAGGTCTCGCCAACGTGCCACAGAGTCAGTGTTTTCCCACGTGGACTGGAAGCCCTTCCTGCCGTCCCCAAGGCCGGTTGGGCATCCCGTGCCACGCTCACGACTCTTGACTACCCTGGGCTGACCGGACTGCTGGGTCTCCAGCCGAGGACCCTGTGGGCAGGCAGACTGCTCTACAGAGCTCCTGTGCCCACCTAGTTTTCTTTTTCTTTCCCCTCCAGCCTTGCAAATTCCCAGTGCTGGATACCTCTTCTCCCATCGGACACAGCCTCCATCACGAAGATGTTTCGCACCCTCACTGCAGGAGAAGCAGCGTTCATTCCTCCTGAATCCAGGTGCAGCCACGCTCCCCTCCCGCAAACCTCCGAAGACCCTTCTCCCTCCTTGGTGCTGCTGTCCCCATGCCCTCATGTTGTCACCAGCCTCCCTACCTTTGCCATGAATTGTCATTATCCTCCTGGAAAACTGGGAGTGGGCGATGCCGGACCTCCAGGGCACTGAACTGAGAAGCATCGCGGGGCTGCCTGTCCTTCAGCTCCACGGTGTGCACTAATCCACAGCACTTCAAGCAATTTTCACCGTGTCCTTGCACTCCTCCATCCTTCAGAGCAGACTTTGCTTACCACTTCTCAGGCTCTTTTCTTTCCTTGCAGACTTTCCGCTCTTTCCAAACGTCCTCCTTGGTGTATGTACGTTGTTTGTTTGCTGGGGGAGCAGCTCTGCTCCACCAGCCTCTCCCTGGTACTTGAGAGGGAGTTTTTAGCTGGGTTTTGCACTTTTTCTTTCACGAAATCCCAACTCTTTCCTACATTTGCATGCTCAGCTTCCCAAACCTGCCCAGCTGCAGTAACCAGCTCTCCTCACTTGTCCTGGTTCGTGCTTGTTCACAGCCGCAGCCACCAATCTGCTCCTATTGATCTTCCCGTTTACGCAAATTGGCGTTGACTCATGCCTGCTCTAGCTCAAGTTATTTCCTCAGACAGCTCTTCTAAAAACAGCTTATTTTCAGGAACAGGTACAAAAAATACCCCATCAGCTCCTTTCATGCTGTGACATGGTGAAGAGATACGTGAGATGTCATATCCAAGGATATCTGGAATGATCATTACCGACAGGTCTGTGATTTATAACACCACCAAAGTCTTACTCTTTCTGACAGAATTTTTCTCCTGGGGCTTTGTCTCCACCCCAGTCTGGCTGGGGGGATCTGTGACAGGCTCCCAGCACCATCCGGGCGACCTTTCTTTCCTTCCTTCTTGAGGCAATTTAGATCCAAGAAGATCTTTTGATGGTGCCTTTCAACACCTCAGGCTGTGCCTTGGGCTTTCTCCTTGCCTCCCATTCTTACCCTCTCCTCCTGTGTCCTCCATTGCCTCTGCTTTGGTCACACCAGCTATTTCTCTGACCCCTGGGAACATCTGCTGCCACGAACAGCTCCATGTAGTAATTTGAGTTCCTCCATACCAGCTTCACATGAGGCCACAAACATTTGTGTTATTTCCCACATATCTGCATTTCCGGAGCCATCAGAGACACCAGCTGTTTGGCACCTGTACCTCTCTCCCAGCTGCTCTTATCCCTAAGGTGCTTCCCTCCCTCCTCGTTTACCAGCTTCTACTCTTCCAGCACAACCCAAACCAGCATAGAGAGCACATGCCTCTCCTTCAACCTCCATTCGCTTCATGGTTCAAAGCCAGACATCAGATCCCTGAAGGCTTCTCCCATTCTGCTGATGTGCCTCCTTGCATCATGAGGAGGGTGTCCATGGAGGCTCCCAGCTGCCCTCCCTGCAGCTCCCAGCCTCAGACTGGCCGCTCCTCCTGCCCTCCTTGCTCACACCCACCCTGGCTGCTGGGCACCAGCACAAAACCACTGCCCACCCCTGAATCTCCACGTTTTGGAGCACATCCCCAGCACGGTGGGGCTGTCCATGTTCCCTCTTGGGGGAGCTTGCAATGTCGTTTGAGGGTGCTCGAGTCTTCTCAGCCTGGCACCCACCTCCTCTTCGCTCCTGACAGATGCTTCCACACTTCCCTCTGGAAGGAGCTGGTGACAGCTCTGTTGGTACCAACAGCTTCTTGCAGGCTTGCACGAACCTCTGATCGTCTCCTTATGGCTCCTCCTTTGGATTCTGTAGCTTTAAGCTCACACTCAGAATCTGTATCTCATCTTCGTTTATCCCTGAGCTCCAGTTTCTCGTTAGAATCAGTCTTTCCCTTTTCCTGCAGGCTGGCATCTCTGCTTCTCCTTGCCACCCTCAAGTCTGTTTGAACTGGACAGTCACCTTCTGATGCCTTCCTGGTCCTCCTATGATCCCTCAGACTCTCAGGGGTCCCTCCCTTGCGCTGCTTTCTCGGTGTGAACGTGAGGCTGACACCTACGGTGCAGTATTCGCGAGCAGACTCCTTCTTTGTCTGTAACATTTAAAGATTTGTTGGGGTTTTCCAGATCTGCTCCCACAGCCTGTGACGGGAAGGGGAAGCAGGAGATCCTTCTGCGTCTGCACTAATGGCGTAAACACAGTTTGCTCCCATGAAGGGCAACAACTGTTCAGGCAGGGTCCAACCTGTCACGTTTTGTGGGATCTTCAGATGAATCCCCATTTGCAGCCCGGAAAACCTGGAGAGGGGAGAGAAGCTGCTCTCATCTGCTCTCATTTAACTGTCCCTGAGATTCTTATTGACTGCACTGGTGAGGTCCCACCTGTCTCTGGTGTCCTTCAGGTGACGCAGAATTGGGGGCTGCCTTGAGGATCGAAACCCCATGGGCTGAGATGCAGCACCTGCCCCCTCAGACATGTCCCCCCCGAGCCCCTGGAGCGAGGTGTGAGGATCGCTGGGGCAGTGGCACAGCTTCAGCCCACCACGCAGCAGAACAGAGGGCTGCTGATGCCCCATGGCAGGGCTGAGCCCTCACCCTCCTCCTACCTGTCCTTGTCTCCTCCTGCTCTCCCTCTAGATGAGTCCCAACTCCCTGCAGCAAGGAAATCTCAGCAACCCCACCATGTTCCTTCTCTTGGGACTTTCCAGTGCCTACAGAGCTCAAGTGACCCTCTGCCTGTGCTTCTCGCTCATCTACCTGGTGACGGTGCTGGGGAACCTGCTCATCGTGACCCTCGTCTGGCTGGACAGCCACTTGCACTCCCCCATGTATTTCTTCCTGAGTCATCTCTCCTTCCTGGACATCTGCTACTCCTCCGTCACCCTCCCTAAGATCCTTGGAGACTCCTTCTCACCGCAGAAGACCATCTCCTTTGTGGGCTGCATCACACAGATCTACTTCTTCCTTTGCTTTGGGGGCTCTGAGTGTGTGCTCCTGGCTGCCATGGCCTATGATCGGTACCTGGCCATCTGCCACCCCCTCCACTACCCGGTGCTCATGAGCAAGAAGATGTGCCACCGCTTAGTGGCTGTTTCGTGGCTGAGCGGCTCCTTCTCCTCTCTCGTCCAGGCCTTCCTCACAGCCCACTTGCCCTTCTGCGGGTCCAACA